GGCTGTAGGAGTAGGAGAGTATACTGTTTTTAGTGATGTTTAGACGGGGAGTAACGAAATGGGCAATTCCCATTTGCTCTTAAAAATATACTCTCCTACTCCTACAACCTTGTTACTGCCATTGTAGAATGCCCTTTACATACAGGTCTTGAAACTGGCCGCAATTTCAGTGGTGGGGGTATGGTCGCTTATTGAGGAAATTTTAGTTCCTAACACAGCCACTATTCGTCGCTGTGATAACTTTTCCCAGACAATCGTAACCTACCTGAAACGTCAAAAAAAAAACTTGGAAACCCCGAGAGCCGTTTTAAACACGCGTGTGATTTTCGTAAAAGATTATTTTTGAAAAATGGCGAGGTGGTGCGCAGTACCGTATTGTAGAACCGGCAGCAGAACGGAACAAATAAAGCGGTCTTTATTTGGCGTACCGAAAGACCCGGTTATATGGAAGAAATGGGAAGAGGCTATCCCAGGTATAGTCAAGTTGCGCCAGACGGACGTTATATGTGACAAACATTTTCAGGAAAAAGATATTTCCCATGAGTGGATTAAGCTTGACGCAAATGATCAAGTAATTGCACGGGTGAGTAAAATGAAAAAATTTCATATCGGTTTCAAAAGAGTTCTGATATGTATTTTCATGTATTTTTTTATTAAAGATCACATACAAGCGTCCGCAATTTAAAAAGCAAGCCGTGCCCACGAAATTCGGTGACGTTCCGACAGGAAATTGTGAGCCGCTGCATGAATATGCGAAGCGAATATGCAATGTCTCTGTCGAATCCTCTAATATGATGAAACCATCAATTCAAATAATCAGTACCTTGGTCGGTGAGTTTTCTGAAACAAAAAGTATTAATTACATTGTTGATAAAAAAATGATAGAATGTAAATAATCGAAACATACATACATTTCTTTTATTTATATTACAGATACCGTACATGTTCCTTTACCAGTTCCAGACATTGGCACAGATATCAGCATGTCGTTTTCGCCCATGGAAATATCGAGTTGTGAACCTCCGGTAGCAGATTTGTTGGTTCCTCAGGAGCCTTTCAAAATGCCCTCATCTATTGAAATCAGCGAACGTGAGTAACTATATGACTACATTTAGGCTACGTTCGAAAACACCACTGGTGTGCACACGAACGTTGTCTGAAAGTTGAACTAAGATAGAACGCTTATATCTGCGATTGTGATTCTGCCTCAGCCAATCAGAAAGCACCAATTGCGAGTATGATTGGAGCGTTGGAGCGTAGCAAATCGCGATCACAGACGCAATCGCGGTCCTGAGCCGCTAGTGTGATTAAAGTGTCAGACAAGGAGCGACAATCGCGTAATATCCTTGTTCCTCTAGCGTATCGCTTTACGGCCGAGATACGGCCTAAAAATGCTTTCTGGCCTCTCGTGACAGCAGTAATGCAACAAGGCTAATAAACGCCCACTTTATAATAATTTTATACTTGCGTATATACATATGTAGATATATATGTTTAAATTATAGTTAAAATTGTATCTGCAATTAAATATTGTATGATGATCAATAATACTAGGATAATAGATAACAAAGTGAATAAATACAAAATACGTCAGACGGATGCCTGCTAAACTTGATGATTTGTTGCTTTGTTACTATCGATATTCCGTGTATCATAATCTTGATTTCCATTTTTTTTCTTCTGTAAAAAACTATATAATATATATTTTATAGATTATTGTATATATATAAAATGAAAATAAACTATTTTTATTTGTAATAAAATTGTTTTACATATATTTACAATTTGTAATATGTGATTATAGTTTGAAAAAGACATAAATATTTTAAACATCTTTCTTAAAATATAATCATTTAATAAATAAATGTATGTAATGATGTATCATAAACTTTAAAAAATAGTAAAAAAAGAAAAAAAATCCTTCAGATTGGAACCCCGAGCTGCGTCGTGAGAGACCACAAGCGTTTTCCAATCATCCACCGCGCACTATTGAAATAAACATCAATGTTATCGGTACTTGTAGTATATTTACATAAGATTATGTTAATCCCTTTTTAAATTAAAATTATGGTAAATATAGCGAATAGGGGACCCAGTATAACTTTTTAATAAGCAACAAGCGACGATTAAATTAGAAGAAAAAGTTACTCAGAATTATGTCCTTGACAACATATGTCAAGGTCAAGGCCATCGGGGCTGAGTCCCCTATTCGCTATATTTACCAAAATTATTATTTAGCATTGCTCTTTACGATTTATACTCCTTGTTTTAAGAATGGGAAAAGGAAAAACAATTTTTAATGCAGATATCTTGTACGATATAAAAAATATAATTTTATTGTACATAATGTTTTATGAAAATTATAAAAACATATACAAAAAGCTATTTAATCCAAAATATTCTCTTTTTTCTACAATCGTTTTATCAAACAAAACTCAGTTTATTGAAAAATTAATCTTTTTTTTAAATATTTACTTTATAGTATATATACTATAAACATAAATATGTGTTATTTTAATGAAATAACTTTACGTAATATACAGGGTGGTTCATTTTAAAAGAGCCAGTCAAATATCTCGAAAAATATGGAAGATACGGAAAAACGAGTTATTCGGGTGGTCTGTCTTAGATGCCTCACCCTGTATATATCTAAATTATAGTTAAGATTGTACGTGCATTTAAATAGTGTATGATGATCAATAATAATAATAGAATATAATAGATAACAGAGTGAACAGATATACTATATGTAAAACACGGGTGCCTGTTAGACTTTATTTTATGTATGCTTTAATATATCTTGTAATAATAATAATCAAGCAATAATAGTAACCAATAATAGCTATGAAAAGTTATTATTACCTTAAGTATTCTTTTTAGATTAAAACAGTCTTTATAATACATCATTATTATTTTTTTTTAATATATTGATTATATAATCAATATAATAATTTAATCAACATAATTCTTTTTAATATAATACATTCGAATATATAAAAATATATTTTTTAAGTTAAAAATTATTGACAACAATTTCATTAAAAAGAATCGATTCTATATTGTTTCGATATTGCTTTCACGCTCTCTCTCTCTCTCTCTCTCTCTCTTTCTCTCTCTCTCTCTTTCTCTCTCTCTCACTCTTTCTCCTAAAAGTACAAGATCTCTTTACTCAATAAGAATGCGATAAGAAATTTTTGTTAGAATTTTCTTAAGATTATTGATACAAAGAGATATTGTATGTATTATTATGAATGTGTTGTATATGTGTGTGTATTATTATGAATGCATTATGTAATTTATTTAACTAGTAATATTTATAAAATAAAGAAAGAAAAATAAATCAAAGAAGAGAATGTAGATATTACATTGGATATAGGTCAGATTCTGAAATAATAATGCAAATATCCAGATTGGCAAATAATAATGATGACTCTTAATAATGTAATATAAAAATTTCTATATTATTTTTACAGTATTACTCTTAAAAAAATTTAATTTCCGTATACTATAAAAAAAATATAGAAATTTTTATATTACAGTCGATCCTGCATGGTATGAAAAATCTTTTGTTTATAACAGTAAAAGTATATTAAACAACACTTTTCTACAAATTTTAAATAAAACTAATACCTGGCTTTGGAAATAAAACAAGTAAATTTATTAATTTTGTTGTCATATTCAAAGTAGCGAAATCATTATTAAGAGTCATCATTATTATTTGCCAAGCTGGATATTTGCATTATTATTTCAGAATCTGACCTATATCCAATGTAATATCTACATTCTCTTCTTTGATTTATTTTTCTTTCTTTATTTTATAAATATTACTAGTTAAATAGATTACATAATGCATTCATAATAATACACACACATATACAACACATTCATAATAATACACACAATATTTATTTGTATCAATAATCTTAAGAAAATTCTAACAAAAATTTCTTTTCGCATTGTTGAGTAAAAAGATCTTGTACTTTCAGGAGAAAAAATGAGAGAGAGAGAGAGGGAGAGAGAGAGAGAAAGAGAGAGAATGAAAGCAATATCAAATCAATATAGAATCGATTCTTTTTAATGAAATTGTTGTCAATAACTTTGAACTTAAAAAATATATTTTTATATTTTTATATATTCGGATGTATTATATTAAAAAGAATTATGTTGATTAAATTATTATATTGATTATATAATCAATATATTTTTAAAAAATAATAATAATAATATATTTTGACAGGTAATAATAACTTTTCATAGCTATTATTGCTTACTATTATTGCTTGATTATTATTATTACAAGATATATTAAAGCATACATAAAATAAAGTCTAACAGGCACCCGTGTTTTACATATTGTGTATCTGTTCACTCTGTTATCTATTATTCTATTATTATTATTGATTATCATACAATATTTAATTGCACGTACAATTTTAACTATTATTTAAATATATATATGCACATATGTACATATGCAAATATAAAATTCTCAAAAAATGGGCGCCTGTTAATCTTGTTGCATTACTGCTTTCTGCTACGAGAGGCCAGAAAGCATTTTCAGGACGTATCTCGGCCGTAAAGTGATACGTTAGAAGAACAAGAATAGCACGCGATTGTCGCTCCTTGTCTGATATTATCTCTTAACAATCGCATCCGTGTGCTCAACATATTGGTGTGTGCCTTCACGGACGCTACATATACGGTGCAAGAGAGACAAAGACGACGCGATCATCTTTCCTTGTCACGCGGCTGTATATATTATCGACATTTTGTGCACATAGCACGGAACGGAACCATAATTTGTGGACATAGCGTGTTACCCACTAAGTACATTCGTGCACATTGGCTACGTCGTTCAATGTCCACATATTTATGTCCACAGAGGTCGTATCGCTTTCAGGGATCACCTAAAATCGGGCTGTGGCGTCTCTCAGGCTTCTCTCTGATAGTACTGGACGGAGCATGGAATCGAAACCGTGTTGATAGACATAGAAAAAGACAAGACGAGATGTGTGGATAGTAGCGGCTCATGGAGCTATGGGACCATAAAGCATTTTTAAATTTTAAACATCTTTGTCTAACGTATCCGTTTTGCATAATAAACAGGCAGAAACCATATTACTAATTATTTGTAACATATATAATCATGGACGTAAGAAATATCTGGACGGAGCACAAGATACATTTTCGGGCGCGGGGTATAGAGATTGAGGAGTGAGAGGAAATCTTGGTGTGGCCATCTTGGTTGTTCAATATTTTACGTGATTTTGGCTGCGGTCGGGAAAATGCTAGAAATGCTTCGAAGCGTTTGATTGACCAATCAAGACAAAAAAAAATAAAGATTTCTCTATTCCAATTGGTTAATGCAATGCTTCGAAGCATCTCTAACGTCTTCTCAACCGCAGCCTTTAACTGCTAAGACGTTACAATAGCAATAAATCGAAATCCGTGTAATTATTGACTGCTCTGCCATCTTGGTTGTTCATATCCGTTACACTAGAACTTTCAATCCCTTTTCCCCTTTGTCTTCAACCCCGCGGCAATATGCTCCGTCCAGATATTTTTTACGTCCATGTATATAATAATATCACTTTTATATGTTATGTTCATATACGTTACACACTTATAAGTAGCAATAAAGTTAAAGATGTTCCCAACTTATAAGAATACAGTACTGTTCCCGTTCTCCTTATAGCGTTTTCGAATGAACGGGTTAATGTTACATATTTGAACCTAAGTTAAATGGGAGCGGTGCACTTGGACACAGTACAATTGGACACAATGCAAATGGACACGTTGCAAATGGTCACGAAACTTTGCACACGATTTAATTGGATACAGTGCATTTGGACACAATAATTTTGGACACAGTAGCTTTTGGACACAGAAGAAAATTCATTTGGACACCGTTCAGTAGCACAGCAGTCAGCTACACACCGTTCAGTTGCACACCGTTCAATTGCACACATAAAAATGCATACCGTTCAGTTGGACACATAAAAATGCACACCGTTCAGTTGCACACCGCTCAGTTGCACACCGTTCAGTTGCACACCGTTCAATTGCACACCGTTAATTTGTCCATCGTAGTTGTAAAGCGAGGTCCACCCTGCCTACCGGCGGGGTGGGTGCG